AGGAATGTTCCTGCACATATGTGCCTCAGTGCTGTTTCCCAGTAATTCTCTGTGTTAGCTTTAATCTGCTTGAAATAGTGTTTTCGTCAGGACCACCTAAACTGACACCAAGTCGAGACCAAGACCAGGACCAGAGCAGTGTAGTGAAACTGAATTTGATAGTTTGATAATACTGGCTCACCTGTGTGATAATACCGTGAGCCAGTATTATCAAACTATCAAATTCAGGCAAGCTTACATGAATGCGCAACGGCCTGGATTTTATGACCATTCAAGGAGATCCTTAAATTATCACCGAATTCTTTATTTTGTTAGAAGAAAAGTTTCACAAGCGAGAGTTTGCAAGATGTGTGTAAACTGAGTTGCTTCTGCATAGAAATACTAGAACATACACACACACCTCACTTTTTGAGCTTTAGGTCAAATCTAAGATGATAATTAACCGTTGTAACATTGTAAATAATTTAAAAAAACAAGGAAAAGCTTGTCAAGGGCTCTTTAAAAGACATATAGGGACTGAGGACACCAAGTGATTAAATGTGTCAGGTGTCATTTTGTTCCCTTCCTCCTGCAAACAAGTCTTAAGGTGCACAACAGTCCTCGGTCTTTGACACAATTTGCATTGCAAAACACACCATACATTCTCTGCTGGGGACAGGTTGGGACTGCAGACAGACCAGTCCAGCACTCACACCCTTTTCCTCCACAGCCAGGCCTTGGTAACATGTGCACAATGAGGTTTTGCATTGTTTTGTTGAAATATGCATGGGTGTCCCTGGAAAGATGTCATCTTGAAGACAGCATGGTGTATTTTCCACCATTAATGGAGCCATCACAGAAGTGGAAGTGACCTTTGCCAAGGGCACTGACACAACCCCAGACCATGACAGACCCTGACTTTTGGACTTGTTGATGGGAACAGTCTGGATGGTCCTTTTCGTCTTTGGTCCGGAGCACATGGCATCCATTCCTTCCAAAAAAGACATGAAATACTGATTGGTCTGACCACAGTACATGTTTACACTGTGTGATGGTCCATCCCAGATGTCTCTGAGCCCATAGCAGTCGACTGCGCTTCTGGACACTGTTGACACAGGGCTTCCTTTGACACAGTACAGTTGTAAGCAGCATTCATGGATGTAACTACGTATTGTACTGCCTGACACAGGTGTGCCAAAGTAATCCGGAGCCCATGTGGTTATATCGCTTATAGAAGGGTGATGATTCATGATGCAGTGACGTCCGAACGATCAGAGAGCACGGTCATCCAGCTTAGGCTTGTGCCCATCTTCGATCCTAAAGGGCTTGGCCTTTCCTGGATGCCACTTTTGTACCAAATCATGATGCAGTCAGCTGTTGACATCACCTGTTTCAAATGGAGTCATCATTTCATTGTTTTACCTCATTACTGGCCCTGAAATGCAGCCGTCCAACTTTTTGCAGCATCAGAATTGAAGTGGTTGTATAAAGAATAAAATTGATGAGGTGCTACATTGTTCTACAGATGATTTACAAATCAGTATTTTCAGGTTTCATTTTGATTTTACATACCGTCCCAACGTTTTCTGATTTGCGGTTGTGTTTATTTTCCAAATTAAGTGTTTTAGTATAACCAAAAAGACAGCCTTCATGCGTTAAGTGATTGTGCTCACTCTACAGTGTAAAAGAAAAGTTATCGAATATTTTTCGATTTTTCCTCCCAGTAAAAAGTTATGAGAAAAATTAAGTGTTGTAGTATAACCAAGAGGAGGCCCCTGATGGCTGAACTGAATTTGACTGTAGGTCTACTACACTATATATGAGTTATTTAGGTTATTTCATATTTTTGTAATAGGCTATCTCTTTTCAGTGTTGCTCTTTGTCGACGGTCCCCGAGCACTTGTTTCACAGCCTTTGCACAGAAACTAATGATACTTGTCCAGTGTGTGCGTATACTGTATACCGTATGTGGGTAAAGTTTGGAGGACAGCTCATTTTGATGAAAATTGTGTTGTAGCATGTTTTCTATTATACTACAGTTGGAAAGAGGTGCCATTTGTGTTTTAGCAATGTTTCACTGTGATTTAAGGTTGTTGATTTGGGAATTTTACTGTAGTCCAGCTTCCCAGGCTAATGCAATTCAATACATTTATATCTTTGTTATGTTATCACATTCTTTAGCTGTAAAAGAGGCTGTTTTTTTTATCGTCTCTCTCTCTGCTGTTGTTATTAAGATATCAATCCATTCTGGGTGTAGCTACCATCCCGGCAGTGCACAGTACTATCCACTCAGTTGTTTGATAATCTTGATAATCAATCACACTAATGTTTGTCCAGACACTGATTGTTGATTGCAGGTCTTTGCTGTTGCCAACTTAGGTTTCTGTTTGAGATCAAGCCACCTCTGTTGTTTTCAGCATAGAACTCTCATTGTTATTTTTGCACTCATTCTGGCGTGTCATATTTTGTATGTTCATTTATCTTAAGGCACTTGCTGCGTCTAAGTGTTGATATAGTAGGGAAAACCTTGGTAATGATGTTAACAAATAAAACGGACAGTGCACAGGCGCCATCCCCACAGCCGTAGTCTTGACTGGCCTTGAAATAAAATCCAGTCTGCTTTGTCCAAGATAAATGTGGCTGATGCCGAGATTTTCAAAAAGGGGTCTCAAGACCGAGCTGAAGTACTACAACATTAGCTTGAATTGTATCATGAGTAGGGTTTGCTACATTATACCTGGTTCAGACCATGGTTTTTTTTGTTTCACACAGTGGTCACTGTGTCAGATTACACCATTATACTGTAGAATCATAAATTCTTGGATGAGGGATATGACAGACTACACATTGGTGCCAAACAGATCGTAGGGCAGGGACCGGGAGAATGGAAATGCAGAATAGCATCTGTGGTGTGTGATATGGCTGATTTTGTTTGGAAAAGCATAAAAAACCAGGTGGAAAAAAGCCTGTGGACACATCTGTGAGTCGCACGAAGAGAGCAGCTAGCCAATGTGTTGTCTCTCCTTCACAGAGAACTCGAGGTAGCGGTTAAAAATACATTTTTTTTTACCCATAGTAAAAGCGAAAACTTGCTAGTCAGTATGCTAATGTTAACTGTATCACTGTGATATTTAATGAATTATGGTTCAGTCCAGTATGAAGATGCACAGCTACATTGCTAAATTCAGTATGACTGAGGTGCAGTTCATTCTCCTGTCACAACAAAAGATCCCAGGTGATGGTTATTCTAACTTAAATTCCTAATGACTGGTAATAATGAGCATATAATTTGCCACAGCTGCTATAGTTAATCATTTAATGAATTCGTGATTTTAAAGAAACCTGTTTTCTTCAACTGTTCAAGTGAATTCTCAGGACAAAATGCCATCTTGTGGTTTCAGGTACACATACTGCTGTTCTTGGTCTTATGCTAGAATAAATTGAATTTGTTTTGGACTCCTTGATGAGATAAACTGGAAGTATAATGACATTGTTTGCTCTGTGATACTGGGACGAGCATTTTCACAGTTTTCTGATGTTTTATAGACCAAACAAAATGAGACCAGGTATGTTTTACTGATGCTGTCACTGGCACTTTGAATTTCTGTGAGTTTCTTCACACCACACCAGCTAAGGCTCTAGCAGCCAAACCTACAAGTGTATTAAACTGAATAAGGATGCTTTTTGTTGCTTCTGAGCTCAGTGTTTCATATGTAAGATTAATACTGTTATTTCTTCTTCCATAGTTCCACAGTTTTACATTCATTAATTAAAAAACAGCAGAATAATTGATAATTAAAGTAAACATTAGTTACAGCCATAGAGTTTTCTGCTATCATCACTATCACTTTTTAATGTTGAATATCTTGTGTAAAAATCATTTGCAGGCAGACAAATCACAAAATGTGAATATATTTTAGATTTTATTGGAGGGAAAAATCCTTCCATTCTCATTAGTCTTTACAAGCAGCTGCAGCTAGGTCAGATATACTTGAATCATGCTGTTGCTGTTTGGTAGGGAAAACTGCAATGTGTACTTAATGTAAATGTTTTGAAATGGTTCTCACTACTATTTCTCATCATGCCACAGCCTGGATGCTTCTTTTACCTGAAATTTGCACG